ATAAGAGATTTGACATGTTCATGGCACGCATAAGTTTCACTAGAAGTCAGTTCGACCACTGTGTTTACTTCAGTTTTTGACCTGGTAATTCATTTGTTATTTTGTTGTTTTATGTGGATGATATTCTAATATCAAGCAACAATGTCGAAGATGTAATGAGGGTGAAGGCTAAACTTAATAAGAAGTTCGACATGAAGGATCTAAGAGTTGCGTCCAAGATTCTTAGGATTGACATCCGAAGAGATAGAAAGCAGTTGAAATTATGCTTATCTCAAGAGGAATACCTACGGAAGAGTCTCAAAAAGTATGGTATGTAGAATTCAAAGTTTGTTGTGACTCCGACAAACCCTTAATTCAAGCTGAGTATAGATCAATGTCCCAACACTAATGTTGAAAGAACTTATATGAATAACATTCCATATGCTAATATAGTAGGTTGTTTGATGTATGTTGGGGTTTGTACTAGACCCGACATAACATATGCAGTAAGTCTTGTAAGCAGGTACATGGTGAATCCTGGAAAGGCTCACCGGTAAGCATTGAAGTGGATTCCAAGGTACATGAATGAGTCTCTGAATAGAGTTCTAATTTATGGTGGAGCCTTGGGTGAAGATATTAAAGCAACAATTGAAAGATATGTCGACTCTGATTATGCAGGTTGTATGGATTCCAAAAAATCTATTTATGGATATGTGTTCACTATGTTTGGGACAACAATCAGCTGGAAAGCAATATTTCATAAGGTTGTTGCCTTATCTACCACTGAAGTGGAATATATCGCCCTAACTAAAGTTGTGAAGGAATCATTGTGGCTTGAAGGTTTTGCAAAGGAGTTGAAACTTCAAGGTCGAGTTATCACCGTTAAATGTGATAGTCAAAGTGTAATACACCTGTCGAAGAATTCAGCCTATCATGAGCGAACCAAGCACATTGATGTAAGGCTGCATTCGTCAGAGGGGTAATCGAGCATGGAGAAGTCCAAGTGATGAAGGTTTCGACAAATCATAATGTTGTTGATATGATGACCAAGACGTTGCCTAGTTGCATGTTTTTCCACTATATGCAGTTGATAAAGCTGCATGAAGAAATATAGTTTCTTGATTTTATAGAGTTAGATCCAAGGTGGAGATTTTTGAGATATTAGATCGAAATCTAGTATGTTGTCAGAGTAATGCATGTTGTAGTCGAAGTTTGTTCTAACATGCATTAGTCAATATTGCTAGGTTTGTTAGAATGTTGAATTGGGCTCTGCTTGTAAGCCCAATTATTTAAGTTAGCTTGTACCACAAGTTAGCTTATAATGGGTAATTGTTAAAAAGCTCATTAGGTTAGTGTGCTATTTTCTTATAAATAGCATGCTAGTCTCTCATCTTGTACAAGAAAACATAGTAAGATAAAATCCTAATTCAAGAGAGAGAGAGGTTATTTGTTATTCTTGTATACTTGTAATCTTGTTTGAAAGAGAAAGGAAAGAATAATAGTTTATAATCAATTCTTGTTGTTTTCCCTTATTTTCTTTGTTAACCCTAACCCTTGCGTGTTTCTTTTATATAAAGAAATTGTGTATATTTTGTTCCAAGACATCCTTTTTCACAACAAAACACATCTGAAGATTTTATATAATGCTTGAGTTTGGTACAAGAAAAATATAATGATAAACACAATTTTCCCACTATAGTGTATCTAGTCTCAACATCATTCATGATTTGACTTAAATAATAAATAGATCTTTCGACACCATCATCATCTGCTTGGACATATCTTCAATTTCACACAACTCACAAAACTTCTAAAATCTGTGAGATTTATGATCTTGAGTTGAATCACCTTTACATATCACAAGCATTCCCAGATCCTTTTCAACATCAATCTTCACTTAATTCGAAAGAGGTTATCTTGTTTGAGTCTTTGAATTGATGAAAGATTCTAAAAATTTTAAATCCTCTTTGGAAAAGTCTTTTTTCTTCAATGAAACTCACCTGCCAGAAATTCAAAAACTTGATTTTTTTTTTATCTTAAAAATATTCACAAAGTCATTAACACCTCTAATGAATCCCTAATAACAAGAACTCACTCTCTCTCTTAGAGTTGAACAATACTCGTACTTGACAATGATGTTTTAGTATTTGAGATAGAAGATGAAGTTAAAACAAAATCTCACACAATAAAGAGTTTATACTCAAGAGTTTGACTCTCAATTTTTTTTCTTCAAGATATGTCTTAAAGAGAATTGAATGTGTGAATGATGAAAAACAAAAGTTATTAAAGATTATGTGAAAAAGTTCTTCAAGATATATGTATGTGTGTGTTAAAGATGAGGCACAAAAACATTGTAAAAATGACTATTTGATTTAAGTCAAATGCATGAAAAAAGATTCAAGTCGAAAGTTGAGAAGATTCAGATCAAGTAACAAAAATTAAAAATATTCGTGTTGTGATTCAAATCATGATTCAATTCATGTGATTCGAATCACACAAACCATGTTTTGAATCACGTTTTCAATAAACTCCTTTTCAAAAGAAGCGCTAATGATTCAAATCAAATGGGATGATTCACGATTCAATTGCTTGATTCTAGTCAACTACTTTGAATTTAGTCAAATGTTAAGTTTATGCGAGAAAAATGATTTTCAACCCAAAGGTGAGTGAGAGACTTATATGAAAAACGTAAATATGATAAAATCACAACACGACAAAATATTTTTTTAAAAATAAGTAAATTAATCATTGTTACCAATAAAACAATTTCACCATCTAGCTTAATTCATGATAAAGTTGATGGTAATCAGTTTATTAGTACTCTTGATACCAATTGTTTTTCTCAAATCTATTGCTTTAGATCATCAATAAAAAAATCTATTGCTTTAGATCATCAATAAATTAGTCATTGTTATTTAACCTCTTCAATGTCAAAAATAAAAAATAAATTTGAGAGAGATAAGTTTATATATGTGTTAGAGACGAGGCAAAAAAACATTGTAAACATGATTATTTGATTTGAGTCAAATACATAAAAAAGTTTCAAGTCAAAAATTGAGAAGATTTAGATCAAGTAAAAAAATTTGTATTATGATTTGAATCATAATTCAATTCATGTGATTCGAATCACACAAAACCATGTTTTGAATCAGGTTTTCAACATTGCACTCCTTTTTAAAAAAAGACTTATGATTCAAATCAAACGGGGTCAAAATTCTCTAATTTAATTATTTGATTTTAGTCAACTACATTAACTTTACTAAAATGTTAATTTTATGCGAAAAAAATGATTTTCAACCTAAGAGTAAGTGAGAAATTTATATAAAAAACTTAAATATGATAAAATTACAACATGACAAAATATTTTAAAAAAAATTAAATCAATCATGGTTACCAACAAAACAATTTTATCATCAACCTTACTTTATGATAAAGTTGTTCGTGTTCAATTTATCATTACTATTGATACTAATGAATTTTCTCAAATCTATTACATTGATGTTAATTAGTTATTGTTATTTAACCTCTTCAATATCAAGAATAACAAGTAAAACTAAGAGTTTTGATTTTTCAAATAAAAATAAAGATAAGTACTAAAAGTACATTTAAACTAAAAGTACATTTAAATCTAAATATATTCATCACGTTTGCAAACTATTTCTTTAATATTATCCCTGAGATTAATAATTTTTGTTTGTCAAAAAAAAATTATATGTAAATGACCCATCTAAAACGAAGAGTTTTGATTAGTTCAATCACCCTCGTACAATTATAGTGTACGAAAGATCATCACGAAACTGCACGATATGAACCACAGTGGGTACGAGAAAAACTAAGCCAATAAAAACAGTACAACTGTCTTTCGTTTATTTCGTGTATAATATATCTTATTTGGCTCTTTATTATTTACCCCACAGAGCTTCTAATATGCCATATTTTTTCCTGTCTATGATTTCTAGGGTTTCTCTTCCGCCATTGCCGAGCTCCTGCCTACTCTTCTCTATTGGCTTTGCTCTCAGATAATTTCTATCCTCCAATTCGACTTCTCCACCTCCTTTTGGAAATATTGTCGCTCTCTTGCCGAATCGGTTTCTGTAGCAGTTCGAGGTAGGGTTCTTATACTTTTTGCGATATCTTTTCAATTTTCGACTGGTTATTGCTGTAATGCGTGTTATTTTTCGTTCCCGTGCTTCCCATCTGCCGCATTATTTTGAGTATTGCCCTAAATTTGTATATCTTGCATCGATTTTTCACATATTTAGTTCATCGTTAGTTAAAATTAGTTATGAATGAAATAATTAGTATTGGTATTTAGGGTTTATTATTTCATCTTTCTTGTAGCTTCTCAGTTTAAATTCTGAAGAATTAGTTTGAATTCTATATGAAGTTCTTACATAGGCCCTGTTTGTATGCAGTTTACAGCCCTTATCATAATAAGTGTTAATGTATAAACTATTTCTATAACAAAAGATGAAGTTAAATTGTTTTCGAGCTGTAAGCGGTTTTCAATTAGCTATATTGGAAAAGTTATAAAAATAAGTTGATAGCACCTTAAGAGCAATCTCATAAGCTGTTCTTATAGAATTTCCCAAACAGTCTCGCTAAACTTATTACGATAGTGTATAAACTCAAGTAAGTCAATTCAAACAAGCCCTTAGCTCCTTAGCCATTTGATCTTTCACATCACCTAGTCTTGTATGTTTTTTTGTTGGACTTGCTTAAATTCCCTAAGGTTTCAAAGCTTTATTGTCTATATTATCAATTTTAGGGATTTTATCGGTTAAACACTGATGGAATATTTTTAACTGTTGTTTTCATTTTTAACTGTTGGTTTCAAAGCTACTTATAATCTGATGCTTGAATGCACATGTACTGCTAATGCTGGCTTCTTGTTATTTTAGTCTTAATATATCCCTTCAATGATTGAAGCTAGTTGCTTTCCTACATATAAAATTGGAATTATACAAGCATTGATTGTTTCACGTTGTGTTCAAATTGCAGTGAAGAAGAAGCTGGTTCAAATGAGCAAGTATGGGTTGAATCTTAGGCCTGCAAAGCCCAAAAAGCAGCTTCCAAGGCCTTCAATTCCCCTTCCTTTTGGCTTTAATGAAGACGATGATAACAATGTTGAGAGAGAAATTGCTATCCAGGCTAGCAAGACTAAAAGTCTCAAGGATGTATGTTGAACTTTTAATTTTAATCGTGTGGTGGTTGTTATGAATATTTTATTTGCTTGTACAGATTATGATCTTACTTTCTGTTGGTTTGGTTTTTTCCATTTTAAGGTCGAGGAGCAGCAAAAGAAAGCCTTGGAAGAAGATCCAACCATATTTGACTATGATGGGGTCTATGACAAAATGAAAGAAAAAGTTTCCCGTCCATTGATACAAGATCGTGAAGAGAGAAAGGTACGGTTGCAGTTCTTAGCATTGTTTTCAAATTTCAATCAACCATTTTATTATGATTATAGATCACTAACCCTGGATAATATATTATGGCGGAAGTTGATCATGGAGCCGACTCCATTTAGTCGGATAAGGCTTAGTTGTTGCTGTTGTCGTTGTATAGATCAGTAGAGAATAATAAAGGACAACCGATGCCAAGTTTCATAATAATTATGTCTCATGTGATTTGTGATACGAAGGTGCAATGGTGCATATTCACATACTTAAATGACGGATTCTAGTAAAACTTGCTGTATCTTTCTTTTTGATTTGCTGTTTTGTTTTCTTTTTGATGAAAAAATAGTTTTCATTGGTTTAGACAGGGGTGAGAGTAGTGAAGATAGTCATTTGTGTTCCTTTACAATAGCCTGGTTTAACTTTCTTGAAGGCTAATATTGAAATTTGTTCATTTTGGGTCATTTGTAAAATAACATTGCTACTCATTAAACTTTGATCATTGATGCAGCCAAAATATATTCAAAACCTGATTCAGAAAGCAAAAGAGCGAGAGCAGTATCGTGAGATTGTATATGAGAAAAAGATTGCCAAGGAGAGAAGCAAAGACGATCATCTCTTTGCTGACAAAGACAAATATATCACAGAAGCATATAGAAAAAAGCTTGCTGAACGAGAGCAACAGATGGAACTAGAACGTCTACGGGAACTTCAAGAGGAGAGAGAGGATGTATGTTCCTGCTTTTTTTATTAATCCAATGATCCTTATTGTTTTCATATCTCTTGTTGCCAATTTGATTGGTGATGTATTTTAAAATGGTCTATTGTTTTCCTTTCTTCCTCAATTTTTTTCAATTTATTTGGTATGTTGTTTATGGTTTAATTCCTATTTCTATTTTAAATAACTGACATACTTTGTTTTTAATTATTTGCATAGGTTACAAAGAAAAAGGATTTTTTGGTTGATTTTTATACAAACCTTGATAAAAATGTTGCTTATGGTGCAAAAGACGCTCAAAGGAGAAAACACGACAATCGGGCCGAGAATAGAGTTCCAGAGACACATGAGGAAATGAACCCTGATGCATCAAATCCGCAACATGATGGTAATACGGACGAAGAACATTCATTGACTAAGGAAACTTCACCAGCAGAGTCTTCAGGGAAAAAGATTGGCGATCAGGGCGAAACTTCCTGTCTTTCTAATAGAAGTGTCAGTCCCTTGGATATGAAGCCAAATCTCGCAGCTTCTGCAGAAGAAAAAAGTACAGTTGAGGAGCCATCAGCTTCACAACCAAATCCGGAGCATCACAAAAGAAGTCAAGATGCTGTGGCTGCAGCAAAAGAACGTTTTCTAGCACGTAAGCGAGCAAAGCAACAGTGAACATATACCTGCTATTTGCTCAGAGATGTCTAGTTACACATACCGGTCCTTTAGTTATTTGTAATTGATTTAATACCCATAGTGTTATGTTACCTTCAATACTAAGGAACTTGGGAATCATAGAATGAACTCTTGCCTTGTTGTAGTGTAAGATGTTTTGCCAATTATATGGTTTTTCCCTTGTATGGTGTAATTTTTCTTTCTGGATCAAACCCCAATACTCATGTGGTTGGGTAACCTGGGTTTGCATTGTTGATGCTGCTGCTTATGTCTATTTTGCACTGTGAATAAATCTTCGGTTTAGAACTTATGGTGCTTTATTGATTGTTGACTCTACGAAACTAAGTCCTTATATAACACAGAAATACAGAGATGTTCCTGTCATGCTATGTTGTCTTCTACCCTTTCTAGTTTCAATGCAGAGTGTTGAGAGTTTCCATAAATTAAGTTCATGTATGTATCTTTAGAGTAAGGGTACTCCATTTTTCAAAAGAAATGAGCAATTTCATTGTTATAGTTGTGTGTATCAAGTCGGATAAATACTTAATGGATGACATGTTTTAGAAATTTGTGTTATTTATACACAATTTTAGTAATGGAGGAAATGGATAAGAATAAAAAATGAAGAAGTATCCTAATTCAAATTTTTGGTATTAAAATCATCTTTTAACACTTGTAAATAATTGTTATAAGTTACTGAAAATTGTATTATTTCTCTATAATACACCATTTTGTAGTTTATGATAATGCTTAAGTGTATAAATTTTCTTGTTAAGGAATAAACCATATGCAACCACGTGTGAGCTATGTTGTACTCTCTATCCTATAGAAAGTGCACACCAATTGTTTGTGTAATTTCCTAGCTGATTTTTAAGTTGTTCATTTTGACTTTGTTTTGATTATTTCTAATGAAGTAGGCACTGACGTATTTGAGCACCAACACTACAAGACAAGTTTATGTTAAACAATAATACTCCCTCCATTCTCTTTTATAAGCAAATTTTGACTTTCTAGATTCATTCAATAAATGATGTATTTAGACTATATATAGGTTAGATGCATTAATTACTTAATGAACCTAAAATGTTAAAATTTGCTTATAAATAGGAATGGAGGGAGTACATTATAATATCTGATCACAATGAATGAGCCTGACATTTTTATTGACACACCAAAATAAAACTCAAGTCAATCAATTTCTTGACCTCTACAATATAAACTATTCTCATTCAATGACTATAAATACACAAAAGAAGCAGCCTCAAATGTTTGCACAACAACTAGGAATAGAGGTTCTACAAAGGGAAATTTATAAGATAAAAAATGGCACAAGTGAGCAACAAACAGATTCTAGCTTCACGTTACATAACCGGCAATCCAAAACAAGCAGACATGTATTTGAAAAACTCTACCATTACCTTACAACTTCCTTTAGATGCTACTTCAGAATCTGTGTTGGTTAAGAATCTGGTTTTATCTTGTGATCCTTACATGAGAGGAACCAAAAGAACAGACAGAAATAGCCTCTTTAATTCCTTCTCTCCTGATTCAGTAAGTCCATACATATAAGGATTTATTACATAGGTTGTTTGTTGTCTCTTGTAAATGATTTATTTTGTGGTGTTAAAATGTTCGTTTCAGCCAATTGTTGGATATGGAGTATGCAAAGTGTTGGATTCTAAACATCCAGATTTCAAAAAAGGAGACTTAGTTTGGGGAATCACCAAATGGGAAGAGTATAGCATCATTACAAAAACGGATAGTTTTATCAAAATTGAGCATACTGATGTACCTCTTTCCTATTATAATGGATTACTTGGTAAATCATTTGAGACTTTTACTCTTAGTTAGTTACAATATTATACTCATGCGTCCTATTTATAAGAAAAAAAATTCTTTTTAAATCAATCGAATAACCAATGTATCTCATCTGCGTATATGTAGGCATGCCTGGTATGACTGCGTATGCAGGTTTCTATGAAGTTGGTTTCCCTAAGAAAGGAGATTATGTTTTTATCTCTTCAGCATTTGGTGCTGTTGGTCAGCTTGTTGGTCAATTAGCAAAATTGTTGGGCTGTTATGTTGTTGGAAGTGCTGGAAGTAAATATAAGGTAGAGATTTGTATTTTTATTTCATAAGAGTAACTAATTGTATTAATCACACTTGAATAGTATAACTACAATCTGAGCACCGATACCTTCACATTGAAAATAATTTTAAAAAATAAATAAATTGAACGGAATCATATGCATCGGACAACAGACAGACATTTGCTCAGAAATGAATAGAGATCATAATTCATTGTTTTGTTTCCATATATAAATAAGGTTGACATTTTGAAGAGCAAGTTTGGGTTTGATGAGGCTTTTAATTACAAGGAGGAACAAGACCTAGATGCAACATTGAAGAGGTAAGTGCATAGCTAGCATTTAGTTTAGTTATTCACTTTTTGTTGGGTGTCTTTTGTACTTAATGCTAAAAACTTACACAATTTTGTGTTCTGTTTTTAATTGCTGATAGGTACTTTCCTAATGGGATTGACATATATTTTGACAATGTTGGTGGAGACATGCTTGAGGCAGCACTTGTTAACATGAGACGGCTCGGTCGAATTGTGGTGGCCGGAATGATCTCGCAGTATGAACTTGATGAGCCTCAAGGCATTAAAAACTTGGTCAACATTGTATATAAGCAGATTAAAGTAGATGCATTCACAGTATATGATTACTATCATTTATATCCAAAGTTTTTGGACACAATGTTGCCTTATGTTAGAGAAGGGAAGGTAACATATGTGGAAGATATAGCTAATGGCATTGAGAGTGGACCAGCTGCATTAGAAGCAATGTTCATTGGCAAGAGCAGTGGCAAACAAGTGATTATACTTGCTAATGAATAACTTGGTGTTGCCTTAATTCCATTTCATTTTGGTTTGTGAGTAATAAACAGATTGCTATCCTATGCAAAACATTAGACATATACTAATAAACTTATGCTTTTCATTTCTTTAAGTAAGTTATATACCTAAACTGACAAATGACAATATTTTTAATGTCAAATAACTTCGGATTCAGAATTTCACAATTGTATGTTTGAATTTTTGATGATTGAGTATGAGTTTTTGGTGATTGTGTAAAAGATAGTGTTCTGGGTTGGGTCTCTGGCTGATTCAACGTCGATCACGTTTCAATCCAACCCCGCGTCAAGGACGACCCACAATGTTGACCCAATCTCTTGATGTCAGTAGAAGGCATTTTGTCACGTGCTCCTCACCCGAGGACACGTCATCAACTTGGTCCGCACATCTCGTGGAACTAGTATGCCCTATGTAACGAGAAAATCCACCCACTATCCCATTATCCGGGAAATGCGGAGCAGTTAAGCCAGGATGATGAGTACGGGCTGCTCATCCCCACCTCCACGTAGGAATCCTGGCAGTCATTTATTATGGGTCTGGTCACCCAGTCTATAATGGAGGTCATCGGCCCAGTGTTGAGGGCTCTCTATAAATACCCTCCTCTTCAGGAGAGTCAGGTACTCAATTCTATCCTATTCTCTATTCTTGCCATCTCTTTACCTGACTAACTTTAGCATCAGAGTGTCTGCAGGTACACCCCCCTCCGCTCTTGTTGACTGTTTTTGTTGCAGAAGTGTTGTCGGCCACGTTCTGATCCACCAGGTTAACACCCCTCATCCGCTCTTCTTGACTGTTGTTACTTTAGAAGTATTGTCGGCCACATTTTGATCCACCGGGTTAGATTAGTGGCGCCGTTTGTGAGAAACTTGCTTCCCCATATTTTCTTTCCCTGAAACCGGAAGATCAAAGCAGAAAAATTCCAAAAACCAATCATGGATGATCAACACGAGAACAACGGCCACGAAACCACCTTCACTTGTGCCCATGACGCCGACAATGACAACGATATGCCGGTTCTGGAAGACATCACTCCAACGAAGAGAGACAGATACACCGCTTCTCTCTTCTCCGACGATGCGGCCGATGATAACGTCTAGTATGTTGAGACCCGAAATGTTCAAAAGGCTTCGGAGAAGACGCCGGAGAAATTCCAGCCAATCCTAGTGTCAGCCAACGTCGACCTGACCATGGCAGGTCGTGACCCTCAACTAGATCAATGCGCTGATCCCTCCTAAGGGACTCAACTTTTCAAGTCTCGATTGAGGGACTCGCCTTTTTCAGTCTTGCATGAGGGACTCGACTATCTTATTATTTTTTTAGGGACTCGACTTTGTAAGTCTCATATAAGGCACTTACCTTTTCAAGTCTCGCCTGAGGGACTTGACTATCCAAGTCTCACTTAAAGAACTCGACTTTGTAAGTATTTCTTATTTTCAAGTCTTGCGTGAGGGAATCGACTATCTAAGTCTTGCTTGAGGGATTTGACGTTGTAAGTATCACCTTAGGGTCTCTCCTTTTCAAATCTCGTTTAAGGGACTTAACTATTTAAGATAAAATGAGGGATTCGACAATCTAAGTATCACTTGAGGGACTCGACTTTGTAAGTCTCGTCCGAGGGACTCACCTTTTCAAGTATTGTCTGTGGGACTCGACTATCTAATTCTCTCTTAAGGGACTCAACTTTGTAAGTCTCGTCGAAGGGTTTCGATTTCCTTGATCTTGCTTGAAAAAGAGTATCGTCTACCTTGTTTAATCAATTGACCCTTCTTAGACCTCGTAGTTCAAGAACGGTAGACTGAGATGATTTTTATTGGGTCTTAGAAGAAAACAACCCATGATGTAATCAGCCCAAAAGCGTCACCAAAAGGGTCATTGGAAAAAACTATGGGGGGTAAGGTACCGAGGGACATGGGTCTCCCGACACGAAGCCCACCCCGCTTAGGGCACAAGGGTAATCATATTGCAAGAGAGTGAATATTGATGGTGGAAGAGTACTAGGGACGAAGTCTACTCGGTAGCTTTACCCTATAACTCTCTTATTGTAATAAAATTTAGTTTGTTTCTTCCTCTAAAAAGGGTGGATTAAATTTTGTCTCGTATTTAGGTTAGTTAAACTTCGTCCAAGGTGGTACTCTTCCCTTGGAAAATTTGTCTTAATAAATTTCCTTTGAGAGAGAACTCATTTAGGCGTGAGATTCTGTTGGACTCGAATGAGGTGTCTTGTTGTTCTTATGGAGTTTTAGTAGAGTCGATTCTCATTTGTTTGTCATGTTTGATGTGGTCCTAATTTTGTGATGTAAAATTTTTCGGTGACTAGACCGGTCTTTTGTCGTTCTAGAGGATATTATATCTCTTTTGATACTTTTGTCATCTTGGATGTGGCTTCTAAGATTATATGCAACTTGATTATGGTTTGACATTTGGTGGCGGGGTCTATTTAGAAGTTCATGAACAATTTGATTTTTTCAGGTACTTTTCTTGGCGTGAAGCACTTGGAGGATATGAGTGTTGTTATGGCCTACACATAGTATCTTCAGAACTACTCATTCCCTTTCTTTGGTTGACTAGATAACCCTATCACGTGTCTGAGTCAATAGCGACTTTGAGTGTCTACGGTCTTATTTAGGTTGAATTTTTTTTGCCTTTTTTTGGAGGATTCTATCTAAGTAGTTGATTTTTGTTGTCGGACTTTAGTTGTGGCATCCTTAATAGAAAGGTGTTTGTGTTGATTTTCTTTACTTGTATCAAGGTAGAGGAGTTGTCTCTTTGAGATAGTTACTTTTGTTTATTTTGAGATGTTTGGTAGTGTTTTGTTGTTTTTTTTTTGTCTAAACAAACAGTTTTGCCAGCTTTTATGTTTAGAGCGTTTTCAATAGTTTAGTTCATACACTCCAAACATATAATATAAACAATAAGAATTTATTCAATATGCACTCACAGTGTAAAATAGTTTTTGATCTAACCTGATCAGAGGGGATCAAGGGCTGGCCACACACTGTTGGACTGTTACCTGTTCACCGGTGATGAGGAGGAAAATGGGGGTGTACTTGCAAAACACTCCGATGCCAAAGTAAGGAGTTGGGCAGAGCGAGAGCAAAATACAAAAAAGAGGGTAATAAGTGAATTACCTGACCCTATTGAAGAAGAGGGTATTTATAGAGAGACCCCAGCGCTGGGCCAACGGTCACTTGTGTTGGGCTGGATGGCCAGGCCCAACCCAGGTGACTGCTAGGGCTTACGTGGCGTAGTGAATACCAGAACGTGGTCTTCGCCCTAATCCAACTGTCCCGTGATCTCCGGAAAGTGGGTTTGACCTGCTCTTTCGGAGGTGGGCAGTTGGGAGATGACGTGTCCCCGCGGAGGGGAGCACGTGGAGAACGTGCGCATGACACGTTGTTCTCCTCGCGGAGGGGAGCTCGGGAGGTTCCTCGAGGGTGTGTGATTCTCCCCGCGGAGGGGAGCACACGAGAGCGGAGGAGACATATCGTCATGCCCGTTGGCAAGGGGACTTTGCCCGTGGAGGATGTTCTGTCCGGCCAGGGGAAGCGTCGAGGACGCTTAGAAGCGCGTCGTCTTGCTTGACGGGGAGCATGTCCTGTCCGTCCGACAGGGGGCGTGTGTCCGGCCAGACTACTCCACTCATTGGATCTTGTGCGTTATTGGGCTGGGTCGCGAGGCTGGGCTCTGGCCGGAACAGTTTTATATTGTTATCTAATAAAAAATCAACGATATGCTATATCATTAAAAAGAAATTTTTAAATAAAAATGTAATATGCCAAAATACATTAAATGAAAGTGTAAGTATCAGTGCATGAATCTATTTTCTAAAATAAAATAATGGTAGAAAAACATAACTTTAAAACTAACGGTACAAAAAGAATCTAATATAAATAATTAATAAAAAAAAATTCAAAACAAATACTAAATTCCTTTTCTCTCTTAATTGTTTGTATTATATATTTATACATTTATCAGAACTTGATCCATAAATTTTCAACTCCTTTTATAACTCTTAGCTCAACTATTTCAACCAGTTGAGTTACCCCTCTCATATTGTATGTTCAGTCCAATCTCATCCTTCATCCTATTTTTTTCTATCTTTTCAACTATCCAAAATTTTGATGTCTTTTCTTACTTTACTATCAAGTACCATCAACGAGTTAAAATTATAATATTTGAAAATGATAAGGATGTGAGGGTGCAGTTGTTGGGTCCCAAGTAAAAATTTCAACAAATAAATAAAATGAGTTTTTCAATCTACCCTCTAAATTGCTATAGATTTCAGATGGTTTGTTTTAACTTTTTATTATTTTTTAATTAAAAAAACGATTTTTATATAAAAATTTTAAATAGTATTTAAAAAAAGTTTAGCTCAATTTTATAAATAAAAAAAATTAATTTTGATATTCAATAACAAAAGTATACATTATTAAAGAGTAAAAACTAAAAGAAAAAATATATGTCAAATAACTTTTATAAAAAAATATTTAAAATATCTTCAAATTTACTTAAAATTTTAAAATATTGACATTCAAAATTTGTTATAGTAAAAGATTGAAATATTTAAAAACAACTTTTTATGAATAATTATTTATATCAATTTTTTATTTGAAGTTTTTCTTTAAATTTTTTATAATTTCTTTAAATAAAAATATATAATATTATAAAACTTATTTTAAAAAATAACTTAAAACAAACGTGCCACCAATAAATAAAATGAGCTATACAGGGAATGAACTATATAGGAAATGAATTTATGACATAGTAGTCTCAAATTTTTGGTTGAAGGCTCTGTTTAAGTTTACCACAAAATAAATATAAACTCTATTTAATTAAAATTTAACTGTGCTATGATAGTATATATATCCTTGTGATATATATTCACTACATAGGAAATGAATTTATAAAGAGTCGTCTCATAATTGATTGTGTTCTTCAAATGTGATTTTTTTATCAAGCATTTATACTCAAATATCATCAATACTAACTTCACCAGAAATCAGTCCATAAAATCGACACAGATATCTTTGTTTTGTTTTTCTGGTTCAGGGCTATGTATCACATAATGTAATCATCAACTGGAAAGCATTCTTCAACCAAAAGGAGGCAGTACTGAATAACTGCTTCGATCTCAATGATGATGGCAATTAATGTCAAAGCCTTACTACTGATCCACAGAGCAGAAATAAATAATCAAAGGAAGATGGCTGTTGCAAAAACACGAACAATGTCAAACATCATTTCCATTTGGTGCGCCAGTCCGAGAAAAAGGTTGTACTTTCAACTGCTAACAGGTGCCAAAGGTGAACAATGCTGTAAATAATACAGTAACATGCAAGCCAGACAAGCAATCAAACAACCAGCAAATCCATAAATTTTTGTTTAATCAAAAGCCAAAAGTGGCAGTACTTAGAGCTGAATAAGTTACAGTATATCCCAAAGAGCTGAATCTGATGTGAAAAGTTTTGGCAGCACCTGTGTTGTAAAGAGGGAGCAAAGGCCGCTTGACTCCTCCCCCAGCAAGCTCTCCTTTTGCTCTTCATCATCTCTTTGATACGTTACTTTGAGAGTATGAAAATCAATGGAGTGATGAAAGAAACAGAGAATCAAAATCCCGCTGATTTTGCTTAGAACTATTGCAAGGGAATGAATCACTGGAGAAGTCGCAACAAAAAACATGCGAGAAAATATGGAGGTGAATAGTAGTTGGTCAAAATGACCTGGTCGAAAGTTGATGTGTGCACATATGATCCAATATAAACCGAAAAGTGGACACTTCACTTCAAACTCAAACACTTATCCATGTTGACATAAGAATATGAATCAATCAGATCACAGATAACGATTGAATATCCTATCAGACCTTACATTCTATCATTTAGTTATATTGTCATAAAATTATAAGATCTTGCCCACAAATTTTGTAGTAGACACAATCCACAAAATAACAGTCTGCGTGACTTTTCAAATAGTGGCTCACATTGAAATACAATATGAATGAAGTTATAAACATTCACTTTTAGGAAAACCATTAGGCATGAAAAAAGTCCTTCTCAAACACTCGCTAAAACTCACCAGGAGTCTGAAAGAAATGTAGGATGACACTTCCATGAAGCTTCCAATAATTATGGAGCCTGACAAAACTACTGCAATTTGGAAGAATTTCCTGAGGCTAGGACCATCAACCTTATCAAAGAGCTGATGACATTGCAAGGCATGCATTTTCTGCAAAGAAGACAGGCTTCTATTCCGGTACCGGTACAGTATATGCAACCAGTTCTCAGGGTAACCTTGTAGCATGTTGAGACTTTGCCATTTCCCTTAAGACAGCACCAACAATTGCTGCCTGCTCAAGGCAGTCAGCCTTATGCAACGCATCTAAAAGAACAACACATGTTTTACTATTTACACGGCAACCTTTCATTCGAGTTTCCTCAAAAACTGTATATGCATCCATTGCTTTATTGGCACTGCTTAGTCCTTCCATCATGGCATTATAGCAAGCAGAATCGGGTATGCCCCCACTTGCCTTAAATCTATCAAATAGGCCTCTTGCCTCCATAACATTTCCAGCCTTTGCAAGTCCCACAATCATTGTGGTGTATGTGATAGTATTGGGTTTTAACCCTTTTTTCTGCATTTCTTGCCAAAAAACAAAAGCCTTATTAAATTTTCCAATCATACAAAGACCATTTATCATAATGCTGTAAGTCATTTCATTTGGAGGACATTTTAAGGTTTTCATGTTCTGAAAGCAGACTTGAGCTTCATCAATTTCCTCAGCTTTCACCAATGCATCGAGTAAGCAATTCCAAGTGTATGTGTTTGGAGTCAGACCTTTCTGCATCAACTCCTCCAAAATTAAGTATGCTTCATCAATCCTTCCCACTTTGCCAAAACCATCAATAAGACTACTGTAGATAACTACATTTAAATCCACACCTATTGATTTTGCTTCTTCAAATAACATATATGCTTCATCAAGCCTGTCAATTTTAGCTAGTCCATCAACGACAGAACCATAAGTTACAACAGTGGGTTGTAGACCCTTTGTCTTCATTTCCTCCAGCAGTTGGTATGCTTTATCGACTTTACCGGACTTGCAAAACCCATCAATTACAGTGTTGTAAGCAAGGACATCCAAATGCAGTCCTTGTTCCTTCATCTCGTAGAACAACTTATATGTTTCTCTTGAAAAACCTGCTTTCACGAGACCATGAATTAAAATTGAGTAGCTCCGGACGTCAGGAACTAAACCCTGAGCCTTTATTTCTTCAAATAAAGCCCTACCTTTCTCAACTTCACCAGCTTTGAAAACACAATCCATGTAAGAATTAAGAAGCATCAGATCAGGAGAACAGCCCCTCTGAACCATCTCTTTGTAAATTTTGTGACCATCCTCCTTCCTACCACACTTAAAAAAGTTCTTAATAAGAGATGAATACACTACTACATTTGGAATTTGACCAGAATCTAACATTTTTTCATAAAGACTATAAGCATCGTCTACCCTGCCACATCTACCCAAGCCATCAATAAGTGAACAAAATGTTCTCGAGTTGGGAGCGCATACTTTATGATCCAATCCTAAAAATATGGAGCAAGCTTCATCCAGTTTTTGAGCTTTAGATAGTCGATCAATCATTATATTTACAGTCATAATATTTGGGAATAAGCCGGCTTCTTTCATGGTATCCTGAACTTTCAGAGCAGCTTCGAGTTCTCCTGCTTTACAAAGCATGTCAATTAAAATATTGTAGGTTGTAAGATTAGGTGCGGCATCTTGTCTCATTTCTTGGTGGATCCTCAATGCTTCCTCTACTTTACCTTTTCTTCCTAAGCAGGTTAGTATACAATTGTATGCAATGACACTAGGTATACATCCCTTTCTCTTTTGTCTCTCGAGCAAACTATATGCTTCATTAAATTTCCCGGCTGAACCATAACCCATAATCATGGTATTATAAGCATAGACACAAGGGACACTCCTGTTGAGATCCAGTTCTTCAAACAACTCAACAGCCTCATCCAATCTCCCAGCCTTGCAAAGAACTCCGATCAAGCTAGTATATGTGACATCGTCAGGAGCCAACCCTTGTGCCTTCATCTCGTGAAAGAATTTCCATGCCATATCCACCTTACCAACTTTACCAAAACAGTCTATACATATATTATAGAAGACAAGGTCAGCAGTAAACGAGTTGCTCTTCATCTCATCCAGCAAGGACAGAGCCGCATCTATGCGACCCTCCCTAGCAAACACACGAAGAAGCGTGGTAAAAAGATGTACATTTGCTTCATAACCTATCTCCTGCATTTGGTGAAATAGAGTGAGCATGGGATCAGGTTTGTTTGCCTCAGACAAGGCACCAATCAGCGTCGTGTAAGCCGAAAATGCAGGACGAAACTTGAACTTCCTCATTATTTCAATAACACCAAAAGCTTCTCTTAGCTTCTGCGATTTGACAAAACTAGCAACCAGTTCTATACAAATATGATTGGAGAGTCCAAATCCAGCCACACTCATTTCTTCAAGTATTTGTTCCAAATAGTCAACGTTTCTAGTCCTAGCCATAACCATGAGAAGTGCATTGTAAACTTCCGGGCAATGCGGTTGTTCAGTTTTTCGCTCCACCCACCTAAAATAATGAAAAGCAACATTCATATCCTTCACCCTCCTCATCACTCCAACAATCACTTCCGGTTGAGACATTTCATCGAACGAGTTGAGTGCATCCTCAACAGCAGGCCCCCATGGACCAGCATCCAAAACCCCACATACATCATACATTGTCTTTCTCATACCTTCAACTTTTATTGCATTGTCTTTGTAGCTATCACCCATAAAGGGATTAACTTTGTCATACGTTTCAGAAGTAGAAAAATGAGACCCATTTGAAGACGATGATGAGAACCTCTTGGATAAAGGGTCAATTTTACCGCATTTAAAGAAAAACCGAAACTTTAGAACTGCAACGATAACAACAATAAAAAATACTAATCAGATTATAGATTGTAACATGGAATGAAAAGAGAGAAGGGAAAGAAAGAAGCAAAAACCTTGAACCCTTGTTAGAATCTTCATGTAGTGGTTGATTATGGAGAATTAAAGGAGAATAACAACAAGGTAGAGAAAAACAGAGTTGAGCAAGAAAGCGCAGCTGAGAAGAAGAAGAAGAAGAAACCTTAAACCTTTAATTTTCTTTGTAATTGTTAAATTACGATCAAATTAATTATTTTATATTATATAATTGAAAATTTTAATAAAATTATGGTTTAATTAGACTATGCTCCCTTAACTAAATATTTAAGAAATGTTAATATTAAATTTATAAAAAAGAAAAATTTAATTGAAATGCACTGATAGTATAAATTTTTTTTACATTGTTAATTAATTATAACCGTTGAATGTTAAAAGAAGTTTGATTTTTATTTTAATCATTAATAAAGTAATATCAATAGATAATGATGATGAATTGACATTGTAAAAGTCACTCTTAATATTGTAGTTATATAAAATGGGTAATGTTAACTTGTGCCCTTGGGGCACATGTTAAGAACTAAATTAAGAAATATCATTTTGAAAATTGTGTACAAACTTAAATTAAATTATAAAATTAATTTTTAAATTGTTTTTTCTAATACAAATTTACTAAAAGTAGTTTCCTTAACATGTGCCCCAACGACACAAGTTAACATTACCCATATAAAATCACTCTTGGAATATGAACATGATTCATCGATTCATCATCGAGCCCTGATTTTTGGAAGAAAAATACAAAGAAATGAATGAACGCCACCAATCAACCACAGGCAGAGTTCTCATCATTCACAATGTCTATACTCATTACGATCTTATCATTAATTGGATTAGATAGCTTGTGTGCTTCAGACTTGAGATATCCTACCAGAATCATAGGTTCACTTTTATCATCAAGTTTCCTTCTTCTTGCATTAAGAACATGCTTGTAGCAAATAGATCCAAACACCTTCAGATGACTTACTGATGGTCGTTTATCACTCCATACTTTTCCAAGAACCTTGTTCTTCAATTTCTTGGTAGGACACTTAATCAGAATATAAACAGCAGTGGTGACTGTTTCACCACGTAAGGATTTGGCAAGTTATTTTGCTTTAACATGCATGTAATTCTATTTCTCATGGGACAAATGTCAAATGTGATGTTCTAGACAACAAGTTCGACAAGATAAATTAAAATCGCCACAATTAACACATATTTAATTGTAGAAGATGATGAAGCAGAAAAGCAATAAATAACACAATAATTGGTAATCCAGTTCAATGCAATATCACCTACGTCTGAAGGGTTAGCTTCAAACCCAAGAAAAGAAATTCACTATTAGTAGTTTAGTAAAATTAGTCTTATATGAACCAACAAACCATATGTTGCTCAATACATTTTCTTAACACTATCTAATGACTTTCTATTTAGGACCCCTCCTAAATATGAGACCCCCTCTCACTTTCTCTTAATCACTAAACTCTAGTGATCAACTTCAATCCAGAATGTTGAATGTTGATTTACAACTTAACTAAACAAACCTACAACTATGTCAAGTTACTGAAACATAGCGCGGTGTACATACAAAAATAACAATGACTCAAATAAACCCTGACACTCTAAAATATTTAATGTATTGTTTGCTTTCTAATGTAGGATTTGAGTTCCTTGTATAGAAAAAGTATTCTAGGTTTTTCTTCTTGGATCTTTAATTTAATTTCGTCCAAAATCTCTACACAATCAATAGGTTATTATTTGTTCCATAAATATCTCTAACAGAAATATATGATTTAGTTTGTTTCAAATTCAAATTCAAATTTAAATTTGATTTGATTTTTGCAGTTGTCCAGCAACAATAGTTAACTTTTTTCACACAAACTAACTGTAGGGATCAAATGATTCAACGAAAATAAAGTTAAAGGATTATTGTGTAACGTTTTTTTAGTTCGGAGACGAAAGTGAAATTTCACTCAAAATTAAGGAACCTATTTAATTCAACGGAAATGAAGTTAAGGATCATTGTTTATGAAATATCTTCTTGATTGTGTTTTTAGTATGTAAAAAGGATAGTGTGAGCTTACAGGCCATAAAAATCTTCTATTGAAGCATTGAGCCATTGAAGGTATATACTCTAGTTTTGAATTTTTGAGCTTTTCTGCTGATTTTGTTTATTTTTTCATTTAATTATTGTATTTTGTTGGAAGCAGAGAAATTATCAAAGAAAGATTCAAATAAAAAAGCAGAACACATTTTAAATATGGATTGTGAGTTGGGTTGTGAGTTTAATTCTTGTTGTCTACTTTGTTGTCATTACCTCATTTGATGAACTGTTCTTCTTCCTATTTTGAAGAGTTTTTTTTTCTCCATATAAATTTGTTGTTTTTAACTTTGAATTGGTAATAAAAAATGTATAGAAAACTATTGTTGCTTATGCATTTCATCTTTACTTTTTACTCTTAGTTACTTACTTTAGAGTTCTATAAATAAGATGGTGACTAAACTGTAACGATTAAATTGACTAACGAAATAATTAACGAAATAAATATATATCTTAGGTTCAAAACTGTATGAGAAGAACACACTTTTTATTTGTTTATATTTCAAAAGATATCCAAAAAATTGTAACATTCAAGTCCAGAAACAACTTATGTCAATCATTTCATAAGGTGAGAAGTAAACTGAACTTTTATTATGAATGTTTTATGTTGAAATTTGAGATTAATTTCTTCTTAATTTCTTAAACCAAATCCTACTTCACAGCATCCATAATTTCTTTATGAGATTTCAAACTCCAACAAATCTTTATGAGATTTCAAACTCCAACAAAAAGATTACTATTCTAAAATGTATACCTAGAATATCATAACCAAATTGCACTATCCAAGCGAATCCACAGATACTTTACTAGATCTAATGGAGTTTCAGCGAGTATGGCTTCACAATATCTTCATTCATTTCAGGGTACACCCCCGCCCTTTCACAGAGCTTGCTGATCAATGATGCATGGATGATGCAGCTTGTGGGAGAAGAACAGTTTGCTGTGACCAAAAGATTATTTGCTAGGAGACGGCCAACATTGACAGGCTCACCGTTAAGGATTGCAATTAGCAAGGCTAGTTTCTTATTGCTCAAGACTGTCACATTTGAACATGGAAGCAACGTATGAGAAATAAATTTTATCCATGCTTTAGCAATGGGTGTCAGGTCAGAAGAGCATATTTGATTTCTAGACGTTCCATCTTCGTTCCTGATGTGATTGACCTCGGGCCTGCACAGGGTACTTAAAACCTCTCGAGGAACTATGTTAGAGCCCTTGGCCACTCTTGCTTCAAAAGAACAGTGCTCATAGTTCTCAAGCCCAAACAACCGATTGATAATTTTATCATCAAATGGAACCTTCTTCCCTCTTGCAAAACTAGTGTATTGAATGCGATCATTCTTATTATTACCATTTTCTTTGGCAGGATCCTGGTATGCATTTGCAAAGAACTCTTTAGGTAATGTTTTACTAGCCACTTTTGCAAATGATGTCAATTTCACCCATCCTCTCGACACTATTGTTGCTTGAATTACTGAGAACCTGTCCCCTTCCAGCTGGAAATTTATTTCTGACACAATCTTTTGGTTCGTCAGAAACATCGAATATCTTTCTTGATGGACCAATGATATGAAGTGGAAGCTGTCAAAGTAGTTAGATGTGGCGTTGGTGGTAAACATTTTTGTCTTTGATTTCCTTTGTGTTTTCTACAATAACAATCAACAAAACGAAACATGCATTGTATCCAAAGTTAAAACAAACGCATAGAAACGTGCTTGGGCACACATATATTGGAAAAACACTTCAAGATATTTCTTTTAAATTTCTCTTCAATCTTTGAAAAGTCAAAATCTAAAAGCCATTAAAATAATTCATAACTTCACATTGCAACATACAACCATGAAGATTCAATTCACCAAGCAATTATTCAAATCAAGGCTCATAATTCTAGATGTAATGAAGATTCACCATACCTGCACATCTGTTGGAGGGACAACAGCATTGATCTCCTCTGACATATGAACGTTGACATTCTCTTGTTGTTCATCTACTACATGTTCGTGTCTAGCTGCAAAGCCTCTACTATATATGTCATTCAACTCAATTTGATCAACACATTTTTTCTTCAACTTTCTGGGCTCACAAACTTCCAACTCCAATTCTTTCTTCTTCTTTCTTAGCTCTCCAATAGTTTCTCTGTCAGCTAAATTGGTATTTTTCTTGACTTCCTTCAACAATGTCTCATAATTATTTTGTGCTCTTTTCCCTCTTTCACATAGTTCCTCTCTATTCCTCAAATCTTCCTCAGCTTGAAACCTCGTTAACTTCTCAAATTCAACCATCTCTTGAAGATGTAGAATATCTGTTTGCAGTCTCTTATCTCTACTCACTAAAACCTCTTAAACTCTATCAAAGTCTTCCGTCAGAAATGCAGTACGCAACACAGAAACCAGTTCCTGAATGCTCATGTCTTCCAAGTTCATAGGGTCAGCTGAACCGAACCCACGTACGATTTTGGATTGATGTTCCATGAGAAGCGGAAAAGGTTCGAACTTTAGAAGAAAATGGGTTTAGCGGAAAAGGGTTTTACAGAAGTTAGTGACCTATATTGTCTTGCTGAAAATGATCAAGAAGAAAGGAAGTGAACCACCTTGCAAGTAGGGTTTATGTGGGTTGGGTTTGAAATTCAATATCCAATTCATACAAGATATTTTGTACAAAACCCCTCATTATGTAGATAGGACTTGGATTGGAGAGTGACTTGTTCAAATAAATTTTCTGTTTTATTAATATTAAATGATTAAATGAAAAATTATCATATTTTTTTCATAAAAATTTCTCTAATATTATTTTTAAATAATTAAATAATTTATTTTTAATATTTTTATCATCATAAAATAATAAAGGATATTATTAACTAATAAAAATTATCATAAAATATTAGCAACAAACTAAAATGGCATGATATAAAATGTAGGGTTAAACTTAAATGTTTTTGTGGTCTTTCTCAAAATATTTTCTTTAAAGAATGTTGTTTTTAAAAATTTGAATCCACACTTTTGGTCCCTCATGTAACTTTGCTATGTTTTTTACAACTTAACAATTGAATTAGGGACAGTTTTAATGACAGTTTATTACTTGCGACTAAATTAGCAACGATGTTAATATTAGAGACAAAAAGTGTGTATACAAATTTTTAGGAGGACCATTATTTAAAAGAATATTTTGAAGGATTAAAAACTAAATTTTATATATTTAAGAAGATCATAAACATATTTAACCATAAAATATATTAACATCTAAATAACTAAAAAATGAAACATTTAAAATTAGTTAAAGATTCATGATTCACTAAAATAGTAAGTATTAAAAAATTAAAATTACAACAATTAAATTAATATTTATCAAAATTATTAAAATTATAATATTAAATATTTTATTAGTGGATTAGTGAATTTTTTTGGTTTGAATCCAACTTTACTCTAAATGCGGTATTTTTAAGAGGCTTTTTTTTAGTTTTTTTAACTTATTAGCACCTAATTAAGTGACCCATCTCACTATTTGAATTTTTTAAAATAAATTTAATCGGATTTTCTGGATTAACCCAACTCATTTACATTGCTACTTGACCTTAATGCTTTATTTTAATGATGTGCTTTTTTATTTAATAATATTAGATTAATTAATAAACTCAAAAATTGTACGATAAAAATAACAATATTATAAAATATATAAAAAAAAGTTAAATCAGTCTAGAAATAATATATTTAAATAGGATAGAAATAGTTAACATTGTTTATTATATTTTAACTTATTTATACAATACTTATATTTGACACTCATCTCATGGGTGGTATGTAACACCCTTATAAACTCCGCAAAATATATATAAATAATCAGAGTAATTATCATGCATCTTACAAAATGGTGTCACATATAATTTTAAAATATTACACAAACATCTGTCATGCTCAATAATACTTAAATAACTTCATGTTTTTCATACACTTTCACACTAGCATGTAGAAGCGGATTTACTTTAATCATAATAGACATAATCAAAGTCTCATGCTCATCTCATTCATAATCAATACTTAGGCTTAAAAGACAATACTTCATATAATTCAAAATAAAAATAACAGAATGAAGTAGAGTATATAAAATATCTCTCAAAACATGAAATCGAAACATTTCTCAGTGTTACATAATCAGAGTATGACCTGACCCAAAATAAATAAAGACACAAATCAAGTTACTACAACGGCTACCTCGCGCTAGAAGCAACTCTACTCCTCAGTACCTAAGCGATGTCGTATAAAACATCATTCCAACATAAGAGTGAGAATTCACATAATTATTGAAACTATAAGATAATAATTAATTTAAGGCATACAAACATAATTATAATTATTCTCACACTTCAAAGTTTCATCAACAAAATATCACTCAAGTAACCATATCATTCACAAGTATATACACACAATCCACAATTTCACCAATTTCAACAATTCACATAGATACACATAATCCCATAGCACAAACATATACACAATGAGACTCAATACAAAACTCAATGCAACTCATGTCATGTGGTACCATCACTTGTTATTATTTTTTGATTTTTACATTAAACCGGGTTCGTTTCCTAGACCAATAACACACAAAAAGCTCGTTCCCTAAGTTTTCAAACCCCGCTCTAGGTTTGGGACAAGTCACTAGCTCCCATGTAACTAACAAGCATTGCCTCTTGACACAAATGATGCTTGTGCAAATTCAACAATCATATGCAATTAAGATCATTCCTTAATCTTAACATTCATGCATATCTTCAATAATTCATAACACTTGAACTACCACATATTTGCACATACACAAGTATCAACACAATACAACATCAATTCACAAAAACACACATCACTAATTAAATATAGAATAATTAATTCATCACTAATAATTAAAAATTTGATATTTAATAAATATTCATTATTCAATAAATAATTAATATTCAATAACTATTTAATATTCAACAAATAATCAATATCTAAATAAATAATCAATATTTTAAATAAATATTCAATATTTAATAAACAATTCAATATTTTAAATAAATATTTAATATTTAATAAATTTTTAGTAATTTAAATAAATATTCCAATTCATGATTTTGGATTTGCTATAGCAGTATGATGAAATAAAAAGATTATAGTTCAGTCTACTGTTTCTTGCTTTTCGCTACACTATTTGGAATATAATATATATACATCTCATGGATTTCGGCTAGCTTATATATTTATATTGTAACTACATTAATCATTAGTATGATGAATACTTTGGACGTTGGATCATTTTTATTTAGGTTAAATTTCTATTTGATTCATGAATAATGAACATGACCCTATTGCATGTTATACCCTAATTCCTTTATTCTTTCTCAAATCATCAAATTCAATCCAAATTTCAATTCCACAAGTTTGAACATTTCCTAAACAAAATCTTGACTCTTTGTCAAGAGCCCTCTCAAAATCCTTTCTTTTATAAGAATGATTAAAATACTTCAAAATACATAAAAACACTTTTTTGAAATAAACTTGAAAGGAAAGGATTGTTGGAATCTAGCATTCTAGCAAAATCCTTGAAAGATTAGTCTCAAGTCTTACACATTGAGATATCCAATTATTTCCTTTTTTCATATTTAAAACACTTAATAAATAACTTGGACCAAGAGGTGTTAGAGTCTAGCATTCTAGCACAACTATTTGAACTATTGATCACTATCAATATTTAGGGTCTACAAATAGTTTTCTTAAACAGTCTTGAATGAAAGAGACTGTTAAAGTTTAGCACTCTAGCATAAACTCTTGCACAATTGATTATCATCAAATATTCATCATTTCTAAAATATATCCAAACCATATTCAAAACTTCCAATTTATGGACAAACCTTGATTGTCATAAAGAGATCAAAATCTCATAGTCAAGAGCAAACCTTGAATATCATCAAGTTTATTTTCTTAGACAAAACTTCAGAGACATCTAATAAGGTCTAAAGATTCTTTTCGAAATGAAAGATGTTGTCTTAATAAATACTAGGGCAATGTTTTGCCTACAACCATTGAGTTGAGATAAGTGGCATGAACAAGATTTGTAAATCCATTAAATGTGGTGGAAATGTTCATTCTTCACTTGTTTTGGATAAAACAAAGTTCTTACATTGATTAATACAGTTAAAATTTTGCTAAAATCAACCAACAAACTTCTACCCGAACTACGATTGTTACGATTTCTTCCTTATAAGGATACACAAGCACTTGATTACGAAGTCTTAGCGAGCACTCTAATAAAAAAAACCTTATTTTCCCCTTCTCATTGATAAAATCTAAAAAAACCATTTGTTCTCTCTTTTCCCACTCCATAAGTAGAAGATTAGAAATTCACCTTAAGCTAACATTCTGTCAACCCTAACTAAACGGTTCCCGTTTAGTACAACGGACGTGAGGAGTGCAAATACTTTCCCTTTGCGTAACCGACTTCTGAACCTAGATTTTGGTTGCGATTACCATATCCTTGTCATTTCTTTTTAGGGGTTTTATTCTATATTTTCCCTTTCCCTCTATAGGAATAAATTAAGATCGATGACAACTCTATTATGTCCATTCCACGGGCATGCGGTTGCAATTCG